CGGGTAGTCTCGTTTCAGAACATTTAAAGCTCCTTCCTGAGCCCTGGCTGCATTGGCAATGTGGTACAGTTCAGACTTCGTTTCGATGGTCTTGTAGATGGACCACACTTTGAGGTAGGCATTCAGCAAACTGTGAATGTTTTTGTCCACTTCGGAGCGTTTGCGTGCATCGAGTTCCTTCTTCACTTGCGGAGGCAGTTGCAGCTCAAGAATGGGCTTCAGCTTTGGGTCAATCGACTCTAGCTTGTTGATCTCCTTCTCAAGTCGACGTACTTTTCGTTCATATTGCTTTTTTGTCGTACTCGGGTCGATTGCCTTCTTCTTTCGCAAGGGCTCGGCAAAGGCAGGACTAGTGACGTGCAGGCCTCGTTCGCTCAGGCCGAACCGGGCTATGCTGCCCGATTGCTGGTAGATCAGACGAAACATTGGTACCTGCTCTTGAGAAGGGGCTGGTTGGACCGGTCCAAACACGGCACACTAATTTATCAACTTTGGAGATGCAGCAGCAGCAGCAGAAGCAGCAGAAGCAGAAGCACTGATTTGCCCACACCTCTGCCCATTCGCAGACGACGTCAGTTTTTTGTTTACCGAATTTGTCTGCTTCTGCTTCTGGCAGACTCTGCCAGAATCTCATTCGCATTCGCTAATGATGCTGCCGCCGCTGTACGGTGCGACGATGCTCCTCCGATCTTTCCTCTAACCGCCCTGCCCTCCCACGCCCACCACTCTCTGCTGCTACCTCCCCGAGGCCCTGGAGACTGAGCTCACCCACTGGAGCAGCTATGCGTAGAGTGCAGCTGTCCACTGCTGTCCCCACTGCGTCTCACACTGATTCTCTCATCCCTTAATGAATCTCATGTGTAAACGGTGTAATTACCATTAAAATCAGGCTAATTACTTTGGCTCAAATGAACGCCAGCCACCACCGCCACTCCACTCTCCGCTAGCATTGGCAGGCACTCTTCACTAACTCACATTCGCTCAGTTATGATTCGCCTTGCCACGCACTCGTCCGAATCGCTTCCCTTCTGAAGCACTCCTCCCCCCACTCAAAATATGGATAATTTTAGTGATGTTGAATCCAAAGACTCATTCGAATGTCGCAGCATACTAGGTTCGTTGTTTGCCATGTTGTTCATTCACGAGTTTATATTTGCCGGCAAAAGTTGGGCCTAATCTAATCTCTCTTTCTTGTTATTAGACGCCTTCAGAAAACAAACTATCAAAGCGTACGATATAAAACAATTATTAGAAGAGCGCTATGCTATTTTATCAGGCAAGTGGATAGTTTTATTGTTTTTGCTGATAAGATAATGTGACTCTAATTGTCTACGTTCTCCAGGTGGCAGAGATCTTAGAGGGGGGCCTGTCATTTTCTTCCCCTCCAGGCAACCGACAGATAAGTTTAACATCGAAAACCTGAAGATTATCATCAACTACTTTTCCACAATTCCAAGGTGTGTCTTTGTTTGATGCTTGTCGTTTGATACAAATCTAAACAACCCTTTGCCTCTCTCTAGCGATGAGTCAAAAGCGCTTGAGTTCTGTGTCGTTATTGACATGCGTGGGACTACCTGGTCCACCATAAAGCCAATTTTGAAAGTATTAGATGAGAATTTTCCTGGGAAAATTCACACAACATATATTATAAAGCCAGATAACTTTTGGCAGAAGCAACGAACTAGTCTTGGAAGCGCCAAATACAAGTTTGAGGTACTGTTTCAGTTTTTTCTACTTAATTAGTTACTAAAAACCTTTGGATTTACAGACGTTATTGATATCCGTGGACTCTATATCAAAGTACATCAACCTTTCCCAGCTAAGCAATGAAATCGAAGGGGGCAGCTATGCATACGACCATACAAACTGGATCAACTCGCGAGTTGCCATCGAGTCGTTTATGGAGCGAATTGCCAAGGTGTACTGCATCATGCTCGGTATGAGAGAGGAACTTAAAAAGATTACCTTTTCAAATGACTTGAACTACATCAACAATGCCATTGAGGAGCACAAGATAATGAAAAAGAAAATCTCCGAAATTCCTGTTGATGAGGTTGATTCTGAAGCGCAACAACTACTTGCTAAGCTGAGCTTCTTTATGCACGACACAAACTTGCACTTTCTAAAGCAGAACAAATCCTACAATCGTGAAATTCTGGCCAATAAGTTCCTCAATCCTGATGTCGAAACGGCCATTTCAAAGATTTTTCAAATTGTCAATGAAATTCATCAGTGCCGGCAGAATCTCCTCCACCTGTGGAATATGAAGAGGATCAAGTACGAGCAGCACCTGCAGCTGCTGCTCTACGAGTCAGACGCCAATAAGATGCTGGAGTGGCTAATGAACAACAAGGAGATCTTCATGCGCAGCTTCATCGTCATCGGCAACACCGTCAATGACATAAAGGAGTTGCAGGAGAAGCACGGCGAGTTTGCCACCGCCTCGGTGAACGTCTACATGAACATCACCAAACTGCAGCACGTGGCGAGCAACATGATCGAAGGAGGGCACAGCTCGGTGGCGCTGATCAACCAGATCACCTCGCAGCTGGATCGTTCCTGGAAGGAGTTCGCCTCCATTCTCGACCAGCGCAATATTCTCCTCTCCATTGCCTCAACGTTCTACAACAACGTCGACGACTACACCAAACAGGTGAACACCTTTCGTTCGCTATGTGATAACCAAAACCTGTACTCCTTTCAGTGTCACGACGTGACAGAATTGGAGTCTTTAGTCAAGAAAATTCAGTCATTTTACGATAAGCTGTTCTTCCTCTACAACGAGTGCAGCTCTACGAGCAAAAAACTGGTCACACAGATGGAACTTCTCTACAAGAAGTACAGTGAGAACATTTCGAAAAATCTTGAAAATTTTGCTCATCAGTTTTGCCGTGATTACCGCGAAAGTATAGGGACCATTATGTCGTTGGTGCAGAATCTTCAACAGAATCAGCAGAATCTCGACACTCTTTGGCACTTCAGGAAGGTGAAGCTCCACCAGAGGCTGGCATTGGCGTTCTTTCAGGACGACGTTCGCCAGGTTCTTGAGTGGATCAACAATCACGGTTATGGCTTTCTCAATAAGAATCCAGGAGTGGGCAAGAACTTGTCCAAAGCTAAAATACTACAAAAAAGTCATACTCACTTTGAGTCCGTCGCTAAGAACACGTACACTAATGCGGACAAACTTCTTGCGGCCGCTGAAGAGCTGGCACGAACTGGGGAGTGTAACTCGGAGGAGGTCAGCGAGGTGGCCAGACAGCTGCAAACACACATCAGCAATTTTGCCAAGCGGGTAGAACATCGACGAAACATACTCAACTTATCAGTCCTCTTTTACACCTTCGATAAGGACATTCACTCGCACATTGCTGAGTTGCGCACCCAGGTGTGCACATCACCGGTTCATGTGCCGGAGAACAAAGACACCATTGAGACGAAGATTAGTAAGTTAATTTACGAGCGCAACCTGATCAAAAGCACAATTGATAATGCCATCGCCAAAGGAACGGTGCTGCTGAATGAGCTGAAGAACTACAGCGCCTACCAGGAGAAGTTTGAGTTCTCGGAAGAGTCGTACCACTCACTATCTTCTTCAATCACCACAGTGGAGACAAACATTGAGAAGTTGAAATGCCTTCTGCCTGAATTTGAGGATCTGTGCAATAGTCAGCATTATAAGCATGGGATTTGCCTTAAAATACGAATGTACGAAAAGGACGCTCTGAACATCTCCTCTCAAATTGAAAAGTGGTCTGTCGATATTCAAAAGGAAATGATGTACCACGATGAATCGAAGCAGTTTCACTTTAGTATCAACGACGTGCAAACCTTTGAAACTGCTTTTGCCGCATTCAATGACAAGTTCAGTCGACTGCAGCGAGCTGTATTTGAGACTATTCACGCTGGACAAGAGTTGATTCAGGTAAGCAATTCATTCAAAAACAGTTCAATTTGATAATAACCTTTTTCAACTTTTTGTGTAGATGATTGAGTCGTGTAATTTCCGCTTCATGGTCAGCAGCGAACAGTCATCACGTGATTTGCTTCAAAGCGTTATCAAGTTTTTGCAGGAAAAGGAAATGGACATGGAAGAGCTTCATGAACTGAGACGCAAGCAGCTCGAGCAGATCATTCAGTTTGGCCACTTTCAAATTAATGTTGAGCAAATTTTAAACTGGATCAGAAATGGAGAGTCCATGTTTAAGAGCTCCTTTTACATACCAATTTCACTTCAAACTGCCGAAAACTTAAAAGCTGATCACGAGCAATTTCAGGAAGCTATCGAGGTAAGCTAACTGTTTAGCCAAAGTGTAATATAATTTTAAATTTATTTTTGCTTTTAGAAAACCCATTGTCGTGCCATATACCTTCACCAAAAAGCCGAATCTCTTGTGCAGGCAAACCACAACCAGTCGGGCACAATTCAAATGATCTCAAATGACTTGTCACAAAAGTGGCAAAGCCTAATGTCTCATGCTGAAGATCGCCACAAGTTGGTGTTGACGTCTATTAGCTTTTTCAAAACAATCGAACAAGTATGCTCAGTACTTAACAGTTTGCAGAATGAGTACAAACGGGAAGAGGACTTTTGCGGGGCGAATCGGCGAAGCATAACCAGTGAAAGCATAAAAAGTTTTGACAACTCTGACGAGAATGCTCTTTCTTGTCAGATTTCTAAGCACCAAGAGCAGAAGGAATCATTTCTTAAAGCCTGCACTTTGGCTAGAAGAAATGCCGAAAACTTTCTAAAGTACATTGCTCGCTGTATTCAATACTACTCAAATGACTCCAGTACTGCCTATCAGAATGCAGAGAGCCGCATCAAAACGATAATGGAGGACCTGTTGAAGCAGGAGAACATTGTTCTTGGCTTTTGGGCAGAGAAGAAAAAGCGATTAGATCACTGCAAACAGTACATTTTGGTAGAGCACAGCTCAAAGCAGGCACTGAAATGGATCAACGAGACCGGATTTCCCTTTATTGAAAAGAAAAAGTCTACACTCAGGGAGGACTGCTCGAAAGAGCAGCTAGAAGAGCTTCTCCGAGAGTTTGATAACTTCAACCAGTACCTCAATGAATGCAAAGAAAAGGTTCTGCTCCTGGGTCAGCTGGCTGATAATTTAATTGAAAAGGGGCACTCACATGAAGGCGCCATCAAGAAGTGGGTTTCCTATGTGAAACAATCGTATCGAGACTTTTACAAGGAATTGGACCACTACAAGAATTCTTTAAATGAAAAGCTGTGTTTATACTCAGACAAAATCGATCGCCAAATTAAGCTAGATCATGATGCGAATTCCAACTTAAAGGAGGGCGCTGAAAGTAATGGCAGCTCGGTGAGTGATATCATCGGACAGAGTGGTGAAAATCGTAAATCAGTTCGCAAGCGCGATTACATCATGGCAGAACTGTTGCGCACTGAAAAGACCTACGTTGAAGATCTTAAGCTGTGCATTGATACATACTTGAAAGACTTTAGAACTTGTGATAACTTGCCTGCCTCTCTGGTGGGCAAAGAAAGCCTACTTTTTGGAAATATTGAGCAGATATACGAATTTCATCACAGGTAAAATTTTTTAATTTTTTATAGTAAAAGTTGATGAGTAATTTCTTTTTTAATTTCCCAGAATTTTTCTGAAAGAACTGGAAAAGTACGAGCAAATACCGGAAGATGTTGGTCACTGCTTTCTAACGTGGGCTGCCAGTTTTGATATTTACGTCAAGTACTGCAAGAACAAGCAGGATTCAAACTACCTTCTCGTGCAGTACGGTGGCCTTTATTTCGACGACATCCGTCGCTCCAATCCAGTTCTACATCCAATTGACGCCTACCTTATAAAGCCAGTTCAGCGCATTACCAAGTACCAGTTGCTGCTCAAAGATCTGCTGTCCTGCTGCGACGAAGGACAGGAGGGCGAGATTAAGGACGGCCTGGAGGTGATGCTACGAGTGCCAAAGAAGGCCAACGATGCCATGCATTTCAGCAATCTCGAGGGCTGTGACATTTCCACGGACAAGCTGGGCGAAGTCATTCTGCAGGATGTCTTTGTGGTCTTTGACTCAAAGTCACTACTGAAGAAAGGCCGAGAACGCCGGCTGTTCCTCTTTGACATGTACCTCGTCTTCTCCAAAGAAGTTCGTGATAGCAGTGCAAAGTCAAAGTACATCTACAAGAACAAGCTGATGACCAATGAGATTAACCTGACGGAGAACATTGACGGCGATGAGGTCAAGTTCTCCATTTGGACGGGGCGACTGTCACACATGTCCGACTTTAAGGTGACCCTCAAAGCGCAGAGTGTAGAGGTGAAGCAAGCTTGGGTGAAGAAGTTGAAACAACTCAAACACGACACCTTTCTCTACTCGACGCTCAATCAGTTCAAGTCTTCGAAAAATGCTGTCAATTCGACGAATTCCACCAAAAGCTCTCACACCACCAGCAATCGCACTAGTCGGTATGTACTAGACAGCAGCGTTGTAGTAGTGTACGGCACCCTGACTGGGCAAACACATAGCTCCAGCTCGCTTCGGTATGACGGCAAATATTGGCAGCAATTAGTTAGCAACATTGACAGTGGTAGTAATTAGTGTTGTCTGGCCATAAACGCACAGAGAGAAGGAGGAGACATGTGTCGCGTAAGGCCAGATTCATTATTCCAGTTAGTATTTGCTGTGTGTTTACCTAGGCGCGCACCTACCACCGGCGCAACGTGCATCAGTGTTTGTTTAGTTTGTGCAGGCACGTCTCGGCTGGTGGAAAGAGGAGAGGGGCTCCCTGTTTGCCGCTGTTGTGCTCCATCCTTTTATCCGTTAGTCTATGACTAACAGATGTGTCACGATTGTGGACGATCACTAATTGAATAACTTTCTTTTCCCAACTTTCCATCGCAGTGATTTGGACGATATCGCGTACGACGAGCTTGCCAGTGCTGACCACCACGAACGAAGCTCCCTCGCCTCATTCAGCTCGGGAAATACCACTGACAGCGACAAGGTAAGCGAACAAAACATGTGCACCTAAATGCGCCTCTAAATATGTTTGTCGTTATGCGATTTTAAATGACTTGGTTGTCAGTGTGCGCTGCTGCAGTGACGCCAATTTAGCACTGCCTGCTCTGCCAAGCAGTGTGTATCGATTGCAGGCGTCTGGTTAGATCAATAGAAAGTTGCAGTTGGAAGGAGAAAAAATAGCACCGTAGAAAAGGGAAGACGAGACCGGCCTGACAGTGACGACAGTGCAGGCTTCTTCACAGAGGATTGTTGCGGAGACATATTCAAAGGAGAGAAGGGGATATACTNGCGTAGAAGAGGGAAGACAAGACCGGCCTGACAGTGACGACAGTGCAGGCTTCTTCACAGAGGATTGTTGCGGAGACATATTCAAAGGAGAGAAGGGGATATACTTTAGTGTTAGTGCTCATCGTCAATGACCAGTTCGTGGATAGTCAGTCTTTTCGCCGAACATGAACAGACAGTGAACGCCTATCGCTTGTGAATTGCTTTATCTGGTGATTTGGTGTGCAGTTCAGCCCGGCAGGCCCAATTGGACAAGTGGCGGCAGTCAACGGTGGCTGAGTTGGTGGTCGGTGCCACCGCATTGCCGCATTCATGCCATTTGTCTGTTTGCGCGGCTCTCCATTAACCAGCGCCCGGCGCATGCTTCTTTCCGAGCCCACCACCACCACCACCATGGCTGCCAGCAGACAGTCTGCTTCTGTCATTAGGCCTCTTTTCTCTTTTTATTGAGCATTTAAATTTATTATTTATATAATCTCCTGCCCATGCCGACAAACTTTTCCCTTGAACAAACTTCTTCTTCTTCATCATCATCCTCTGGTCTTTTTGACCTGCAAAATGCTCCCTCCTTCTCCTTCCTCATCCGCCGATTTGCTATCTCTCTCTCTCTCTCTCTTTTGCTATACTGCCGTTTCCTTCACTCACTCACTCACTCTGTGTCATTGGTGATTGCTTTTTGCGCAATTCTCTGCCCGGTTTAATACTTTGACTTATTTACTANCTCTGGTCTTTTCGACCTGCAAAATGCTCCCTCCTTCTCCTTCCTCATCCGCCGATTTGCTATCTCTCTCTCTCTCTTTTGCTATACTGCCGTTTCCTTCACTCACTCACTCACTCTGTGTCATTGGTGATTGCTTTTTGCGCAATTCTCTGCCCGGTTTAATACTTTGACTTATTTACTACATAATTCTACGCGTACTCCAAGTCCACTGGTGAGTGGTGGGACACTGCTACTGAGTGAGTAGCACGCCCTTCACACCGCCTTGCCTTCCTTGCCTTGCACCCACTGTGCGTCCTCGTTGCAGAGTGGCCTCGCCAAACTTGGCCTGGCACCCACTCTCTTCTTCTCCACTCTCTCAGTGCTCTTCTCCGGTGCTCAACTTGAACTTAATTGTTTATTTGTTTGTTTGTTTATTTCTCCCTTTCTTTCTCAGATCAACTATGAATACGCTTGGGTGAAGGAAGACTTTACAGTCGACAATATTGCCACTCTGCCGAGTACCGCTTTCGGAAGCTATCTGCCCGTCTGTGTCGGGCAGAGAGTGGAAATCCTCGAAGGGAAACTTGCATCGCTGCCAGAACTGTGCCTGGTTCGACTTTCAAACAGCCAGTCGGATGGTTTAGTTCCCACCAGCATTCTACGGTATCCGCTGAAGACATCTATCATGTCACTGAAGTCATCTCTGGACTCGGAAGGTAAACACTTTATTTATTTTTTGTCACTGGCGCCTTTCTTTGCCCAATTGACTCTCTCCATAGTTACCGTGCACACTGTGCAATCGACAGACACCGACAGACGCTGTACAGCAGACTCACACGCTGTGTGCCTCTCTGACGAGCCTGTCGAGCCAAATGTGTTTCCGAAGTGCTCACACATATATATAGGACGGAGACGGCACTGGAATCGGTTGTAGCGATGTCAAATGTGTGTGTGCATGAGGTCGGTGTTGATGCAAACGTAAACTCTCTGACAGATCGACTCTCGACACCATTGACCCATTATCCGCTACTGTGCCTGTCTTTTTAAATTGTCACCAGATTCGCGTTAATGACATAATCTGCTCCAGTCTGTGTCTGCCCCTTAATGACATGTTTTCATTTGGGCACACTCTCTGCACTCTCTTTCTTTGCCTGCTTTCTTCAGCTCAATCCCCAACTCGCCGCATTCGCATGTGCCGCTGTACATTCTGCGCCAGTGTAAGCTGCTGCTGCTGCTACTGGTGCTGTATTTGCCGCTGCAAACCCAACTCAGTGAAAGTGAGTGGGAGAAAGAGAAAGAGAGAGTTCCTACTGGTGAAGGACTACCGCCACTGGGCGCCAGTGCCACCGAACACATACATACCCAAAAGCACGGACAGAGACAAGGAAACAGTCAGCAGCAGCAGTTGCAGTTGCAGTGAATGTGTCTGTGTGTGTGCACTGTGTAGGATCCCGCGGGGTGATACTGGTCTATGAGGCATATATAGACACACCGACGACTGCTTTCTTATATAGAGTGAGAGAGTGGGAGAGGGAGATGAGCCTTTCCCTGTTATTGTGCATCCCATCGCATTTCATCTCAGATTAGGTGGGAGAGAGAGGAGAGGGAGTGAGAGGGAGATCATTTTAAAGGGATGGAAAGAGTAGAAAAACGGTGCCTATCTGAAGTGTCCGTCAGTGATCTGGCAGCCTGCATCGGCAAATCTGTCTCCACCGTCGCGCCTACTACTCTGCACTACCGTTCGAACGCGTGTACAGTCCTGTAGTAGCCCATCCAGTGGCCAACAGGAAGGTGGCTGATGAGAAGTGCCACTCACAGCTCTCAACTGCATCTCTTTGCGCTGTGTTTGTCTGTTGTTGTGTCAGTGTCACAATTGCTGTCGCTGTTGCTGTCATGCCCCCCGAGTTGTTCATCTCTCTGCTGGCACTTTTGCATGTGCATCATCCTCCTCCGAAGCGAGTGCTCTCCTAAATCAGTCCCTGTGTCTGCTGCATATATAGAGGAATATACCACTGGCTAATCGTTATTTACATGTTCTGCTGTCCGCTTCATGTCTGCCAATCACGGCATAATCATGCACAGAGAATTGCTTCTGACAGCCAGCGATTTGTTGTTGCTGCCCCTACAGGTCGGCTTTCCTCTCCACTTTCATCTTCTTTCACTCTGTCCCCTTGCGTTCCCCTCTTGCACCCGCTCACTTCACTTTCAATATCGACCGGTGACATTAATGATTTGCTTTTTTGCTCTTTTTCTTTTGTTTTGTTCATCCTGCAGATAATAACGCCGTTTTTGCCGATGGTGCCGGTGGTAATCTTGAGAACAACTCCAATAAGAAGCGCGGCGTCTTCAAGAAATGGATAACCAATCCAGTGAGAAAACTGAGTCAAAGCAAAGTGGACAAAGCATTCCAAGGTCCCACTGCAGCGGCGGCAAGTACCACCACTAAGACGTCCAGTGTGGGTACGGCCACAACGACAACGACGACGACCACCACCACGACCGTGGTGGCAGCTGCGCCAGAAGCACCTCCGCCAACGCATACATCGCTTTCTAAAGTAATATACTAATTGCTGCTAATGTATTTGCATTCTCTATAATTTCTACCTTTTCTCTCTTCCTCCTTTTCCGCTTGTGTGTGTGTTCCCTAGCTTAACGACATTGAGCCGAATCACAAATCTGCGTTTGAGAGCACCCAAATTGGCGCATCNCAGCGGCGGCAAGTACCACCACTAAGACGTCCAGTGTGGGTACGGCCACAACGACAACGACGACGACCACCACCACGACCGTGGTGGCAGCTGCGCCAGAAGCACCTCCGCCAACGCATACATCGCTTTCTAAAGTAATATACTAATTGCTGCTAATGTATTTGCATTCTCTATAATTTCTACCTTTTCTCTCTTCCTCCTTTTCCGCTTGTGTGTGTGTTCCCTAGCTTAACGACATTGAGCCGAATCACAAATCTGCGTTTGAGAGCACCCAAATTGGCGCATCTAAAGCAGTGGCTACTACTACTACCGTTACTGCAGCAGCTGCTACTGCGAGTGGTGTTAGCGCTGTTGCAGTCGCCAGCACAGCCGCAACCAACAACGCGCAATCAGTGACTACACCTGCGGACGCCACCGAGGAGGATTGTGATATTGTTGAGATCGATATACCTCCGCCTATGGAGATACAGGAACACAGCTACCAGAGCATCATGTCTACCCCTAGTGACTCAATTAAGGACGGTGATAAGGTAAGACAGGTGCACTTCAGAGAGAGGGGATCGGTCTCTTCTTTCAGACACATGTACTTAATGTGCTTTCTTTTTCTCTCCGTAGGTTGATGATTTGATGCAAAATCTGACTCTAGATAAGAAGGATGCTGCCAGCACGAGTACACCGCAACCAGTTGAAGGAACCGAAACGCCTCCAGAAGACCCGCTGATGGAGGAGCAAAATGAAAAGGAGCAGGCAATGGCTAAGCGGGCGTATGTTCTTAAGGAGCTCGTAGACACCGAGAGAGATTACGTGAACAACTTGGGCTTGATTGTGGAGGGCTACATTAAAGCGCTTAGAGGGGAAACGAGCGATGTGCAAGTTCCGGAAGACTTGAAGAACGGCAAGGACAAAATTATTTTTGGCAATATTGAAGCGGTTTATGACTGGCATAAAGAGTAAGTTACGGCGTTTTAAATGTTGGTTTGGCTTTTATTAACTTGCTTTTACATTTCAGCTACTTTTTGCCTGAAATTGAAAAGTGTCTTGAAGAGCCTGAAAGATTAGGGAAAATTTTCCGAAAATACGAACGCCGACTGAACATGTACGTGGTGTACTGTCAGAATAAGCCCAAATCCGAGTACATCGTCTCAGAGTACCTCGACACGTTTTTTGAGGTTTGTACATTAAAGTGCTGAGTGTTTGATTGACTTATGAATCCATCTTTGTGTCGCCATCTCTTTAAACAGGATTTACGTCAGAAACTAGGTCACAAGTTGCAGCTTCCCGATTTGCTGATTCAGCCCATTCAGCGCATTACCAAGTACCAGCTTCTACTTCGTGACATGCTCAAGTACACTGAACGAGCAGAGCTTACCAAGGAGGCAGAAGACTTGCGGAAGGCAGTTCACATAATGCACGTCGTGCCAAAGACTGCCAACGACATGATGATGGTCAGCAGGTTGCAGAACTTTGAAGGCAAAATTTCAGCTCAAGGAAAGCTCCTTCAACAAGGGCTGCTCATGGTGGCGGACGTGATGATGAGCGGCGGCAGTGTCAATCTCAACTACACCTCGATCAAACTCAAGGAAAGACAGGTCTTTCTCTTTGAACAAATCATCATCTTCAGCGACGCAGTCGGCCAGAGGACGCAGTTCTCCAATCCGAACTACCTGTACAAGAACCACCTGCAGGTGAACAAAATGTCACTCGTCGACAAGAACGACTACCTCGACGAGGGCAAGTTCATCCTCCGCTCAAAGGACCCCCAGCAGGAGGGGCTGGCCTTCCTCTGCGAAGGCCTCACCAAGGAGGACTCGGTGGAGTGGGTGTCCAGCATTCGCGCCATCCTCGACACGCAGCTCGACTTCCTGCGAGCCCTCCAGTCGCCGATTGCATATCAGAAAGAGCTGACCAAGGAAATGTGAGCAGTCCGTGTGTTTGCTTAGAACTTTCTTTTCTACCATGCCATGCCCTGCACTGCACTGCAAAAGTGTGCTCCTTTTTAAAGATACCATGCAGCCCCGTTATTTTTTGCCCGCCCCTGTTTCTTGGCCCGTTGTTGCTTGTGTCTGAGACGACTCCCTCAGTTTCTCTCCTCCTCCTTGGTTGGTTACCCCTTCCTTTGTTGTTGTTCTTTGGGTAACGTACCACTTGTTTGCTCCCACCTTCTTCATTCACCTTCTTTCACCTTCTTTTTCCGACCCTTTTTTCCTTTACCGACCTTTTTATTCACCTTTTTTACACCACTTTCTTTTTCCCTTTTTCACCACTTTACCTCCCATTCAATGCCTGGCACCTTCTTCTTTTGCTTTCTTTATTAATTTTCTGCTTTATTTGTTTCTTTGTTTCTTTCTATCTTTCCTTCCTTCTTTCTCTCAAAGTTCTGCGCCAGAACTTAACACTTTGTGGAACCCCTCTTTACGAAAAACGCTCTCGCATCCTTCGGCAGTGCACAAAGATAAAGAGTTCTTCAAGTCAAAGCTCATTCCTTCGTCACTGGGCAGCACCCACAGCTCCAAATCAGTGCGCGTCTCGAACAAAGCCAAAGAGAAGCACAAACCCGGCAGTGCCCCGCCAGCTGCCGAATGCCCACCGGAGCCGCCGGCCACCACCACCGAACGGCGAAAGAGTCCTCTGGCAGGCGTCGCCGGCCTGGCCTGCACCGGTCTGAATCAGGCCCCTGAGCCTCGGAATCTGGTCAGTCCCTCAAAGCTAACTAAAAAGTCCTTCATTGATGGCTTCAAAAATTCACTCAAAATGAAGCGGACGGACTTTCTCAGCGAACTTGAGCCTTCCTCTTCATCCTTATCTAATTCTAGTCACAGCTTTGATGCGGCCACCATTAAGAAGTCCTCGCTGACGAATGACTACCTAACCCGAATGAACACATCCATCAGGCGCTGGTCGGAGAGTACACCGCGACAAACAAAGAACAATGAAAGCTAATTCACCTTGACAGACAGAGAGACACTGTCCCTTCTGCTGCTTTACACTGACTGATCGAACAAGAACGAAGCAAAACAATCTCACTTGATCTCGGATGTGATTTAGGAACATGTTGCAATTACTTGTAGCTCACATTATTTTTTTATCTCATCGCTGCCAAATTGAATGTCTTGAATGTACACTTCTTTCCAGCTAGTTTACACTCTGACAGGCAAAGTACCCACCCAGTCATTTGTGGACGCCCATCATTTCATCATCTTTTTCATCTTTCTCAACCCATGTACATACATTTCTCCGTTCCCACATTCTGTTTACATTCAAACTCAAACTGTTTTATTTGGCAGACTGCTGTGATGTTTGATAATATTACCCAATTGTGCGATGACTAAGTCTGCGTTCACCTGTTTCAGCTTCCACGCTACCGAACTACAAAACACATGCATCACTTTCCTCTCCTACTAATAATGAGCTACCTGACACAACTTAAATTGCCATTGATTTGTTGATTGAAAACCTGGGTTTCTTCCTTCATACAATGCGGTGTTGTTTGTCCTACTCTGACACTTTTCGAAGCAGCCATCCTTTACCTAGTACAGTCAAACGAGCCCTGAACCCTTTGCCTGAGAAAGCCAGCTTTTGAAATGCCATGAAAAAACAGGCAAATCAACTGGCCTTTTTGTGGCATTTTGCATCCCTTACTTTTTCCCCACCGCTCTTGACCCTCATGACCTTTCCTCTTTTCCCCAACCGTGATGCAGCAGAGACACCGCCACCAGCACCTCCACCAAAAACATCCAACCAGTCACTATTTCCATTGTTACTTCTTTCTCAGCCACTCATCTTTTGTCAAACACTGAGGAATGAACTTCTTTCCTTCATGTTTTTTACAAACACCAAGCGTAAAATTGTTTATTGAAATAAATATTTATTTACTACTCTTCTTTGTATGCAAAGGTGCAGAGAAAGTGGCGCTACTCGACGTTTTAAATTGTCCAGAATACGTCACCTCTGAATGGCCCATCTCAGCCATGAGTTTCTGACTCAAAAACAACGAGTACTTTGTTTACGCTTTTGGCGTCTGTCAATGAGTGTTGACGCAGTTTGGCCCGACACACCCATCGCCCCTGCGTTTGGCGAAGAATGGCAACCACAAGCACGTCAACAGTGCCTGCTGCGCCAACTGTAACAAGTCCCTCCTTTGCTCTGAACAAAATTGACTATGAAAAACTGAACGAATTCGAGTTTAAACCACCTCCCGAATGTCCCGTATACCGCCCCACCCAAGAGGAGTTTGACAAGGGCCCACTGGAGTACATCAACAGCATCCGACCCGTTGCTGAGAAGCATGGAATCTGCAAAATTATCCCACCAAAGGTTAGATGAACAACTCGTGTACTTTAACGAAGAACTTAAGTCTTTCTTTTCTTGAGCAGTCGTTCAAAGTTCCATTCTCCATTGACACTAAGGAGTTTACATTTACTCCTCGTGTTCAACGCCTAAATGAACTTGAAGCTCGGACACGAGTAAAACTGATTTTTCATGATCGACTCATCAAATTTTGGCAATATCAGGTTTGTTATTTTTGTGTCCTTAATCTTGATCTTCTCTTCATCCTTTGCCATTCATTAGGGTGTAATATTGAAGTGGACAACGTTTGAAAAAAAGCTCCTTGATCTGCATACACTTCATTCTGTTGTCAAAGAAGAAGGAGGCTTTGAATTGTGTACGCAAGAACGCAAATGGGCCAAAATTGCTTTAAGATTAAATTTCACAAGTAATTTTCTTATATATTTTTGACTACCTAATCTCATTCTACATTTTTTGTTTAGAAAAATCCGCATCATCTCTTCATCAGTATTACGAAAAGACCCTATTTCCGTATGATCTTTTTATTAATGGAGCTACATGTGAGGCTACTTCTAATGATGAACCGCATTCAGCAAATGGTTATGATAATAATTCTGATGTCAAAAATGATACAACAGATGAAACTAAAAGTTACGAAATGACTGAAAATGCTGACCCACAGAACACAGAATTAAGAAAGCTGCAAGTTTTTGGAGCAGGTCCGAAAATGCCCGGAGTGACTAATGATGAGAAGGTGGCCAAAGGCAGAATATGTCACAACTGCTCTGATTCAAATTCCTCTCCCATGCTCACATGTGATTACTGCACGAGGTCTTTTCATCGGGCTTGCTTATTTCCACCGTTCAATGAGGTGCCTAAAAGTATGTTTTGAACTGTTTTAGATGATATTTTTAACTAGCAAAACTTTTGCAGACCAATGGAATTGTCACTCTTGTTTAGCGAAAATTCTGCCTAAACTACCGCAACTGTATACAAACGACTTTGGCTTTATTCAATCTGGAAGAATCTACAAGTTGAGCGAATTTTGCGAAAATGCAAATGCATTCAAGGCTAGTTACTTTAACCAACCGCCCCATGTAAGGTCTTAATATCATAAGATGATTACCATCATTAATCCTTGCCCTCTCAGAAAGTTCCTCTCGACATTGTTGAGAAAGAATTTTGGCGAATCGTTTCATCATCGGAAAACATTGTGCACGTCGAGTACGGAGCAGATCTCGACAATGATTTTGGTAGTGGTTTCCCGCTAAAGAAGCAGAAAAAGAATGACAATGATGAAGGAAAAGAAAATATAATGGAAGATCCGGAACTAGAGGTTACGTTTTTAACGTTACTGAACTTTTGACTGACTATTTTTATCTCAACAGTATTACGTCAATTCTCCTTGGAACTTGAACAACTTGCCCACCTTGGACGGAAGTGTTTTCAAGCACATCAATACAAACATTAACGGCATGATTATTCCGTGGATGTACGTGGGAATGTGCTTTTCTGCGTTTTGTTGGCACAATGAGGATCACTGGACCTACTCTATTAACTATCTACATTGGGGAGAGCCAAAAATATGGTACGGAGTTCCGGGTAATGAGGCCGACAAGTTTGAAGAGGCAATGCAAAAAGTGGCTCCCGAGCTGTTTATTCCATCGCCTGATTTGCTGCACCGACTGGTTACCACTTGCAATCCAAACATACTGTCGAAAGAGCACGGTGTTCCGGTGAGTTTCTGATTGTTTTAAAATTCTTTTTTACTATTTTTGTTAAATTGCAGATTTACAAAGCAGTTCAAGAAGCTGGTGAATTTATAGTCACATTTCCTCGTTCGTACCATTCGGGTTTTAATCAGGGATTTAACTTTGCGGAGGCTGTCAACTTTGCAACTCGCGATTGGTTAAACCTGGGACGCCTTTCAGTCGCCAACTACGCGCTCTCTAACCGATTTACCGTATTCAGCCACGATGAACTCATCTGCAAGATGGCCGATAGTTATAACCGTCTAGACATGCAACTAGCTAGAGAAACTTACAATGATCTACTTATGATGGCCAAAAATGAGCGAGAACTGCGCGACCGAATGAACTTGATGGGCATCATCTCGTCGGAGCGTTACGTCTTTGAGACTATGGGCGACGACAATCGTTCCTGTTGTCGCTGCAATACAACCTGTTTTTTGTCTGCTTTGCGCTGCAAGTGCCCAGATGAAACGGAGGCTGATCAAAAAGATGAAAAGGATAAAAAGCGTAAGTGATGAACTACTTGGTAGGCGGACATTTC